TATTATGCACGATTCTCAATCAGTGACCACGTTCACTCGGCATACAGAGATTCGGAAGCTCATTGGGAAGATGTTGTGGCCAAATTGCGAGTGGTATTTTTCTTCCGTTGGCCCAGCATTCGATGGTACTGTCAGATTCATTGCCGTCAGCACTTCATAGTCGCCACAGTTGATTCTATTTTTAGATTAGACCAGAAAAAAAGGAGGGTTAATTGGTGTATGTGAGCAAGTACACAAGGTGTTCCAAACCCAGTAGTGTAAGGGACCAGAATAGCTCAGACCCGTTTTAATACGACATCACAGAGCGCTGTACGACAAAATACGACAAACGCAATCGGATGACCAACCGTGTGACAGCGTAGGGCACTCACCCGAACCCAATGCTAGAGTATTTGAGTGCTAGAGTATTTGAGCAGGTATTTCAAGAGCGTCACATTGACAACGACCACAGAATACATACACTTATGGAAGGTTAGTGCTTCGTGGATGCTAGATATGCTACAGTACATGACCGTATAGGACGGAGTACGATAGGTACTATCCGACGTTAAAAATCGGGCACATGTGCCGACACCGCACGACACACACACCTGAAGTCACAGCTAAAGCAGTTCAAGTCGGCTACAAACAGATAGGTGACGAACGCCACACGCACACCGAACACAGCCACCAAAGGCCTGTTCACATCAATAGTGCAAGCCACATCCACATACCCAACAATATATAAAATTTATCGGACGACTATACGACACAACGCAATCGAAAACGGACACGCATGACAGTGTACGCCACTGACCTGAATTCACAGCCACAGTAGTTCGGGTCGGCTATGAGCAGATAGGTGAAGAAAGCCACACTCACAACGAACACGGCCACTAGAGGCCAATTCATGTGCCATTCTTGTCGGTGCTGGAGTCCCAAACTATATGTCATACCTACAGAGCACAGTGCATTGGGTGGTAGACATATGTTGGATCAGAAAATTGGGTTCAAACATACACTAAATAGATATAAATCGGGTTATAGCATAGACTAGTTCAGCCAATCGGGGTTAACTTTAAATCGGATGAGCAACTGGGATAAATATGATATATAGGGCAATGCCGGCAGATCCGATTAAAATGGTGTAGACAGACAGAAGCTAGATGACCATGTTTCATCACGTTTCGCAGAGCGCGTGCAAGATATTTAAACCATGAACCCTAACCTAAACGAACTTCAACCCCTAAGACAAAACGTACAACCTAAATCGTGCCCACCAAAAAAACTTAAAACCGAAATTCGGTACACTTGAAATTTGACTCAAAATTCGAAATACAGCTCTCTCGCAAAATTGATCTGAAATACGAACTAATGTATCAAACTCATAGGTGACTGTGTACATATCCCATACACATCCCACATCGGTCTCATACCAACAACCATGTACTAAAGCTGAACCTTAATCCCTGGCACTACAACCAAGTATCTCTAAGATCTCAGTAAATGCACTTACCTGCAAAAAGGTCACTAAACCATATTGCATGCACATCTCATATCAAACTCACATCAACAACCACATATTAATGCTGAACCCTAAACCCAGCCATTAAACTATATCTCTCTAAGAAGTCAATAAAGGAATTACCAGTAAAACAGGTCTGGAACAGTACCACCAGACTAATGACCGAACTTTCGAAGTTGTCACCCAGTTCCCACCAAGTGGCCGTGTCAATGTCCTGACTATGGCCGTTGAACTCGTTACACAGAAACCAGGGCTGGAAAAACAGACTCCCCACGGCCTGGAGAAATGGACCAGGTAGGTAGAAAAGGGGACAAATTGAATATGCGAGGACGTTGATATACATGCCATCTTAATAGTGTTTACCACTAATCAAGAAAAAGACACTAAGCTCGTGTACAAATAAAAAGCAAGGCCCGGTCTGAAGGGATGCCCTGTAAGAGATTTGGACCGGGTAGGTAAAAAAGACAGAAGATTGATATACGTGCTATTCAAGTGGTGTTTTCCACTATACAAACCGCAGCAACTAAGCTCGTGTATAAATGAAAAGTAAGGCCGGGTGTGGCGAGATGCCCAACGGTCTGGAGAAATGGACAGAAAAGGTAAACAAGGGAATATTGGACATGTCAGTAAGGCTGTGTGTGAAGAGATGCCTTAAGCCCAAAACAAAGGATAAGGGAGTAAGTAACAAGAGATGAAGAACTCGTATGTATATATATATATATATATATATATATATATGTGTGTGTGTGTGTGTATAATAATATATATAGATATAGTATATATAGTATAGTATATA